ATTTCGCAATAGGCGCAGTACTTTCTCAAAATAACAAACCAATTAGTTATGCCTCCAGAACGTTAAACCCGGCAGAGATTAATTATTCAACAATAGAAAAAGAACTTCTTTCAATCGTTTGGGCATGCAAAACATTCAAACCCTATATTTACGGCACTAAATTTACTATATACACTGATCATAAACCATTACAATGGCTTTTTTCACTAAAAGAAGCAAATTCTAAACTTGTACGATGGAGATTAAAACTGGAAGAATACGACTATATAATAAAATATAAAAAAGGGACGCAAAATAAAGTAGCTGATGCATTAAGCCGTATCAAAATAGAATGTAATCTAAATGAAAACGATAACGCTGACGACAACATTAGTACACAAGTACAAATCGATGACATTCTTGATACAATAATAAACAGTATATTAAGAGAAGAGACAGATATACCCCAAATTAGTAATGAAGAACTAAATGATTTAATACCAGAAATTCCTCCAGATAATCAGACTGTCCACACAAGTCAAGAGGAACCAATGTTCTCAATACTCTATACAGAAAACCCCCTCAATCAATATAAAACTCAAATTATACTAACGGAATCAAATACAATCCCTAGTAACTTTTGTGATTCAAGATATATATTTAATAAATTTCGTCACTTAATTACTCTTAAAAGTAACATAACCGACGAAGAAACCTTTCGATTTTTAAAACCTTTAATCTCACTCGATAACATCACTTGTTTTAAATTTTCCACTCCTTCGATCGAAAGAAAAATAACGCGGATCTTAAGAACGTCCCTCAGACATCATCGTAACACGAAACTCTTAATAGCTAATAAAGTCTTAGACGACATTATCAACGAACCTGAACAACAACAAATCATTAGATATCACCACCAAGGTAAATCTTGCCACCGAGGTATTAAAGAAACTATTAAGTCAATCAATAGAAATTATTATTGGCCTAACATACAAATAGACGTTACCAATTATATAAATACTTGCCAAACATGCCTAGTAGCAAAATACGACAGAAACCCACAAAAAATAAAATTGAAAATATCTGAAACACCCTCATTTCCTTTCGAACATATTCACATTGACACGTTCATCATAGATAAAAACCATTTCTTGACAATACTCGACCCCTTTTCAAAATACGGACAAGCTTATTACTTAGAAGCAAAAATTAGCATTAATGTCATGGAAGCCTTACTATTATTCATATCTCACATGGGTATACCACACAAAATCACCGCAGATAATGGTACTGAATTTAATAATCAAATCATAAAAGACTTTTGCCTTCTACACAATATAGAACTACACTTCACTACCCCTTACCATTCAAATTCCAATTCTCCTGTTGAAAGATTTCATTCAAGTCTAATAGACTCTATAAGATGTCTTAAACAAGAACATCAGAAATCAATTAAGTACCTCATGACTCTAGCTGTCTTACTATATAATAATTCAATACACTCCACAATCAAAATGACACCCTTTGAAGTAATCCATGGTCAAAAGACTAACCCCTTTGATATTTCCCCACAAATTGTTGTCAATCAATATACTCACAAGCATCGAGAAAATTTACAACATTTGCACAATCAAGTTAAAGAAAGAATTCAAAATAATAAAACAAAAATTATTGAAAAGAAAAATCAACAACTAGCGGAACCCGAACCAGTACAAACAGATCAAACGGTTTATATTCAAACAGAACCTAGAAAACCTAAAGATCACCCAAAATTTAAAGAAACAGTTGCTTTAGAAGATAGAGACAATAAAATTTTGACTGAAATTGGTATTATACATAAAAATAAAGTGCGTAAGCCGCGAAAAGTAATAGAGAAATCTTTGTTACAGGATGACAATGAATCTCTCTCTAACAATCCTCTACCTAACGATCCTAGCAGTAGTCCAGTCCGAAGATATAACCTTCGATCCCGTCGATAGATCGAAAGATATCATATGTTCCTACACAAATTAGACCTTCATCCTTTATATGAAGCATTTCAGAAACTTCAACTTTTAGATCAAAACAATCTAAGAAACACATCTCAAGGAATCTCGGAATCACTTTTACATCAAGAAGAAAATTTAAAAGTAATTGTTTATCAAGAATTTAGGAAATTTAGACCCATCAAACGTCAAAATCGAGGCCTCTTTAATATCATAGGAGACATTAATAAACAACTCTTCGTAACAGCAACCGAAAAAGATCTTGAAAAGTTCGACTCAAAATTGAATACCTTATTAGAAAATGAAAAAGAGATAGCGACCGAAGTCAACTTAAGAACTTCATTATTGTCATCATTCATAAATAAAACTACAAAAATAATCCATCAAATAGATGAAAATAATAAAAAATTAGAATATAACATCAAATACTTTTCAGATTCTTTAAGTATTAATTTCCAAAGACAAATCATCATAAATCAATTAGAACTCATATTATATTATGTTCAACAGATTGAAATTACGATTTCACTCCTTCAGCGAAATCAAATTAGCTTCTTTTTGTTGACCCCGCGGGAAATTGATGACATGGTCACTCACCTCAGAACATTATATCCTCAAAGTGAAATTCCTCGCTTTGGAAACATACAGTCATATTACAATTATTTCCAAACAAAATTATATTTAAAAGACTTTTGTTATTACATCTCAATTCTAGTACCAATAGTATCACAGAAAACGGAGCTTGAACTTTATCATGTAACCCCTTTACCAATTAAAAATATAACCCTCCTAGAAATCCCAAAATACCTTGTTATTGACTCACATGACAACTATCAATATCTGAACGATCAACCAAACACCATTGAAGATATATACTATTCTTCCGAAGTCAAACTGGTAGATCATCCTAATTGTCTCGTCGACATACTCCGCCAAAGACAAAGGCCCAGAAACTGTCAAATCACCCGAGTTTTCTACAAGACACCCTATGTCCTACAGCTCAAATCTTCAGATTACCTACTAATCACATCAAAGTTAGTAACACTACAATACAGTTGCTGACATGGAATCGCAGACACTAAAACAATTACGAAAAATACCAAAATCACAATGATCCCAGGCTGTCAATTCTCCATAGACGACCTTATCTACGAGTACGAAGACCCAATTATGACCAGTACTACTTATCTGTTACCAAACATAAATTTAACAACATTTCCTATGGGCTCACTACAGAATATATCCCTCGATGACCTCTACCAAGGAAAAAATCTTTTCAAGAATATCGTACATATAAAAGATTTTAAAGAAATCCCATGGCATATCAACTATACCTGGATTATGCTCATTTTTATATGTTTAGCCATATTGATCCTAACATACCTTTACTTCATGAAAAACAAACCCAAAACAGGTCTAGCCGTCATCTTCAACAAAGCCAAGGAACAAGTCAAAATCAAGCCCAAGGTGGACAAGGCAGTTGACGCTCTCGTGGACCCCCAACTTCCTTTTTAAGATGGGAGGAGTTACACACCCTGTATAGAACCCGGATCTTCTTTTATTTTTATATCTCGTTGTCCTTCATGCATAATACATTGTTATGTATACTTTGCCTATCTATTGACGTCAATGTAAATGATAAGAGATCCCTATATAAACTCATGCGAGATCTCTCATCATCAGTGTAATAGTAGTAGACGTTACGACTTGTACTGAATATCTAGTAATCAATAAACGTGTTGAAACAAATAAATGTGTTAAAGTTTTCCAAGTCACGAATTGCAACTTTATTTATCGTCAGTTCGTTAATTGTCATCATTGACAGTTGGTTCTTTTTTATTTTTTCGTCATTTGTGTTAAAATCATACCTTTAATTTATTTAAATGAAGAATACGCGACATGATTTTGGTGTATGGATATTGCGACGGTAGTACCACCGCCTCAGTTAGGAATATCAACGACGATATCCAAACCGCCATTTGAATCACTGAAGCAAACATTCAATAAAACCATCACATCTTCAATAGAGTGCGTTCCCTAAACCGTTGTGAAAGAGAAATTAGGCGAAGAAACAATGCTGCAAAAGTGCTCGAGCTTGTTGAAAATAAGCCTGGTACTAGTACGAGAAGAATTTCTGTACTTACTGAACAAAGTACACTTTGCGAGGAAACGGACTGCATTCCTATCATTATCAACCGGTACAAGAACTTCTCCCCACGAATCTTCCTCCACGAGTTCGTCTTTGAGAAATGTAGAACAATCATCTGGTTACTGTTTCAAGAACCCTTTTTTATGAGAAGCTACCTACACTTACAAAAGATGGAATCAACAATTTTCACAACGATCATGTGAATTTGCAAATTGCAAATGCATTGGAAAGCCCTCATCCTATTCGAGAAACTCATTTTCAAAGAAAATTATCCATAAACATTTGGGTTGGAATAATTAATAATGAAATTATCGTACCACATTTCGACAGAGGATTGAGTCACGCATTGCACAAGGTGGTGGTCACATTGAGCAGCTTTAATAATTATACTGTCGTTATGCTTTTATTAAAATAAACCACATTTTCTTCTTCTTAGCCCTCTAGTCGCAACAATGTAAATTACTTTTTAGCAACTAACCATACAACCTGGCAACTTCCAACACCGGTATTTGAACAACCAGTCGGGAAAAGCAAATAGAATAATTTTTGCTTAAAATTAAGTTATAGAATGCATATAAGAAGTATATCGGATAGCACAACAACACAGTTTCCGCGTGGAAAAAAATAAAAAATATCCCACTGGCAAAAACATCCGCCTCGACGCGGCAGATCATGTATACTTACCCTGCCTCAACCATTAGTCAAATAAAATTAAACGCACTGTACAGGAAAACTTTTACCTACACAGGTTTTAATATCTCACATTTACATTTGAAGAGCTAAACTTCTTTTACTTTTCCATTTACCCAACTTTCCATTTTAAAAAAATTAACACATACTATTAAGGTAATTTACTTGAAAAATTCATATATTTTTTAAATACTGCAAGTAGGTACGTACAACTAAGAAACTAATGCTTATTAAGTCACCTATTACTAATAGGGTTATCCATAAATTTTATTGACGACTTCCTCGATCTATCTTGACTTTTAAAATTTGCCTCAAATTTCATGGATAACGCAGAAAACGTTTTATTTCCTTTCCTAGGTGTAGCAGAAATAGATCTAAATTGATTAGAGGTTACAATTGGTGGTAACACTAAATGGCTTCCTTCGCTTTTTCGAAACAGCTCTACTGTGGAATTTTTCCTACTCTGCAAGTTACTTGAAGCGACATTCCTTTTCGAAAATTCCGGTTCTTCTACTTTAATGAAGGGAAGAGAATTGTATTCCAACGTCGTGTCAGCGTAATCTTTAACATCTCCATTTAACAGAGACTTAGATGACAGTCTTCTTTCATTAAATTGATTTTTTATTGGAGAAATTTTCAAATATTTATCAGTATCTAAACTTTTTGGCTTGTGGGAAATTGTAAATATACTTTTGTTTTTATTCCTATTTTCATCCAATTTTCGTTTTCTTGAGGTATTTATATTTCTTTGATTCAGAAGCCTATTTGAGGAATTATCAAAAGTATCTATCACAGCCGATTTCTTTTTAGTATTATTAAAAGTAGCTACATCACAATCCTTATGTAGAAAATTATGTTTATCACTACCGTAAATTATTAATTCCATATCTTCTTCATCTAGTAATTTCCGGATATTATGAGTAGAATTTACTGGTGTCAAATGGTTGTCGAATATACTGAAACAAAATAGAAAATAAATATTTGCTTTCTCTACATAATTTTCTTTATCAGTATTATAAATGCTATTATACAGGGTGATTCACTTTTTATGATTAGGACTTTAACCNCGGACCCATGTTCATATGAACTTTTTTACTTAGTTTTGATCATAGAATCGGCCTGTTCAGGGTTGGCAGCTAATTATGAGACACCCTGTATAGGTACTGGGTGTCTTGAAAAAAACGTAACAATCTAACTAGCTCCGCTAATTATTGTCAGATCTTTAAAGACTGGCGTTGATAGCACTGGATACTTTACAAACTAATATAAATTTAATTTTTTCATATCTGCTTAGTTTTTTAGGGGGTTGAAATTAAATTAAATTTAATAGCAGTTTATTTGAATTTTTAAAGCTATTGACATTAATCTTGTTTCTTAAAATTCCACAAAATTTCAATGCTATAATGTGTATATCGTTCTTTCTAAGAAATTCACTCTATATTTTACAAACTGATGATAAGTAATAGGAAAAATAATTTTGACAAAGCATTCTGTATAAAGAAAAATATATAGGTACATAAGGAGGAATTGTATGATAAAACTTTGTACATTACAAATATTTAACTTGTGATATTGTAAATATTTGCTTTATGATTTAAATACGTTTCCTTTTTTTCCAAGAGTAATAAATAACATAAAGTTATGTTATAGGTTGTAAAAGTATAATTATATCCCATTTAGCAATATTAATGACTGGCAAGCCACCATACATTTAACAAAACACAATTTATAACATTATTCTCACTATAAGCATAAAACAGATAGAGTTAAAATGTGAGTTTATAAAAAGTTTTAAATAAATACCTATAGAAGGATGGCACCCATCTCTGGCAAAGACGAATTTAAAATTAAATTTGGCTACAATCTCTCACATGTGTGTCTTGCTAATACTACTAAGATTTTATTATTAACAACACAATTTCACATTTTAATCTTGGTAAATGCTGACTACGTTTTAATTCACAATTATATTCTATGTCTAGTTTCTGTTTTTATAAATACTTACTGTTTTATTTTGAACGTTTCCAAAATTAATTAATAAAAATAATTTATGAAATATTGTTTTATATTTCAATTTTCACTCTATTCTACTATCAGGTAAAAAGCTGCAATTAAGTAATTTTATTATTATTCTATTTTAAATATTCTTGTACTTATATCTTATGAAGATAATATGTTCCTTCTCTGATTACTAATTCTTGAACAATTATTTTAAACAAATGTAGTCAACAGTGGCCATTTATCAATCACATATAAATTTTTCATCAAATTCATGTATAAAATATTTCACATTAATGTTCACGCTTTAAATTATTTAAACTATGAGAGCAGTTAATTAATAAATAGTTGATATAAATTAACAATAACAATATACAATTGTCTAAAAAATTTCTTGAAGTATATAAAAATGTGAATAACTGCTCTGATAGGATTAGAGCTTTTTTAGATATTTTAATAACGTTTTCTACAGAACAGTGATAAATATATGAAATGTAATTTGTTCATAGTAACTAAAAAGGTACTCTGAGCAATTAAAAAAGTACTGCTGTTGTTGATGTTATATCATTGTTAAATAAAGATGCAAATTGTACATGATATGTGCGATTTCTGAAAATAAATCAAGCTCTATTTGAAATAATATTGTTTTTATTTCTTTAGCTCAACCAACAAGATCTTCGACATTAGCAAAGTTGAGTTTTTATCTGAAATTCATTAAAACTTTGAAACCATGGCATATACTTGAATAATATTTTGTATAAACATAGTAGATACACTAATGACTCAATAGAAACCTTAAATGCTTTGAGAAAAGTTCAGGGTCGGTCTCAGTTTTCTTAACGTTGCCTTCAGTTCTGATATCGACCTATAGAGAAAGCCATAACCATAACAAATAATACTATAATATTGATAGCACGCCTGAGCCCATATACCAACATTTGTCAAACTATTATAGGGGTCATATTTATACGGAGACTACCTTTGTCCTTTAGAAACACGAATCAATACTTAATTTTTTCAAATTCCGTAGTGAAAACTTATTTTTTGTAACTTGTTTTAGTAATCCTCATACCCCGAAGCTGGACAAGCTACAAACAAGGGTGTGCGTTAGTCTCAGCGCATGCACAATTATGAACTGGACTATGCATTGTTGTCAAATTTCATAATTTGAAGGAAAGGTTATTAAAACGAAAATTTTGACACCACCTGCCGTGAAATACCTATTGCTCTCATAAATGTTGAACCAATATTTTCTTATTCGATACTAGATGTTCGGGATAATCCATCTAATATCGTATTCTGTTTTTTCGGACAAAAAATTGACTCTAACCATATCAACTTTTTCTCGATTCGTATACATGCTTTTTTATAATATCATACAAAAACTCAAAAATTTAAATACAAAAATACACTTTGTAAAGTTATACACTTACACCACACAAAGGCGCTTTACAAAGAACCTCTCGTAAACCGATAAAGTCGAATACTAAAATAAAAATGTAACAAACCCGTTTACCATCCCGTCATATCGTACCAAATGGAAAAGAAATTGCAGTTGCCGCCTCTCAAAGGCGGTACCTATGTCATTTCAGCAGCNGATATTATGAGTAGAATTTACTGGTGTCAAATGGTTGTCGAATATACTGAAACAAAATAGAAAATAAATATTTGCTTTCTCTACATAATTTTCTTTATCAGTATTATAAATGCTATTATACAGGGTGATTCACTTTTTATGATTAGGACTTTAACCATCTATAGATCTCATCAAAATAATGTAATTTTGAAATATACACTTTTTCTTCCAAAGCCATTTTTCTCAAAAACCAAGCATTTCATTTAAAAATAGTAACAGACCCTTTTGCTGTAGAATAAACCGCAATGTAAAAAAATATATTCATTTTGAAAAATTATATTAAAAATAAGGGCAATCAGAGACCCTTACGCCGGACGCCTGTGATTGATCTATTTTCACAATAATTTGTAAAATCGATAGAATGTTTCATTCGTACACTACATACTAAATATAAGACAAATGGCTTTCATAGTTTAAAAAATAAATAAATAAAAACCAAAAAAAAATATTTTTTTTCAAAATCTTATATCTGCAAAAGAAAGTCTTTGGAATAAAAAGTGTATAATTCAAAATTATTATTTTGACGAGATCTAGCGATGGTTAAAGTCCTAATCATAAAAAGTGAATCACCCTGTATAATGACACAAATAAACTGAACTGTATTGGTTGCAACTGATAAGTCATTTTGTTTTAAGATTAAGTAACATTCACATCTTTATTCGGGGAAATTGTAGAAATACATTTACATTACAGTCAGAAGGGCTTGAGCTAATGGAAAAAATAGTATTTACCTAGAGTAAATCCACTAATACGACGTCCAATCTAACTTTCTATAAATTTAGTATAAAAACAGACAATTTTTGAGGAAAATCAATATTTGCAAATGTGTCTCTTTTGTCTCGCAATTTTGCATCCGCTCAGCTACTCTACGCTTCGCCCCGCAAACAAAAAATTTGCTCGCCACAAAAGTAACACTTTTAATCCTAATATAATATTATACTATTGCCATAATTCTTCCCAAGTTATCGTAAAAAACTAAGTTATTGAATAGCAAATCCAAGGAACCTCTCGCAAAAGTCGCATAAAACCTAATAGGCTATTGACTATGTACTTTAGATATGAACTACAACGTAACAGAAATTTTATTGTTTAATATGTTCAATTGACCCTAAAAAATGATAAAACCGCGGAGTGCTACCTTTTAAAGGGGTGCGTTTTTGAGAATGAAGTAAAAAGGTGGTATTTTCAGTTTTTTGAGTTTTACTCGAAAACTATGATTTTTTTTCTAAATAATTGTCAACAGAAAAGTTGTAGCAAATTGAATTTCCAATCGAAATGGGACCTTTTAAAGTCAAACCTACTGTAGTAACCTGTTTCAAATATTTAAAAAATCCCGCGCGATTTACTTATTCGAAAAAGAAGAAAAACAGGAGATCTGGAGTAAAGTGTTCAGTGTTCATAGTTCTTATTTCTTATCTTAGGCTTATGGTTAATTAGGAAAAAGAGAGGTTATGTGCTATGTTATGTGCGAAAAGAAGCGTTGTTAAGATTTGTCTTTATGAAAATATAAAGTTTTAGAGAAAAATATAGTGTGCCTTCCTGAAACAGCCACCCAGATAGAGCTCCCTACAATAGTTATAGTTATATAATTTCTTATTTCTCTCGTTCTCAGCTTAGAGTATTTGCAATTATGTGCTGCTAGAGAGAGATAGCATATACCCTCCTATACCACACTGACATATTCTCTCTCTCTCTCTCTCTCTCTCTCCGCTACACTCTCGGCCACTGACACGCTGCCTCCAGTAGTATCTGCTTTAAGGTTCTCAGATATTATATCGAAACTGACATTGCCACTGTATATTATGAGTTAAAATATAAAAATATGTCTTGTCATGTAACAAACAAGAACACATATTTTATATAAAAAATATTATGTAAAACTAAGATAAAGAAATAAAACTCCATTAATATAATTTAATAGTTTTCAGGCGAAATATAAGGTCTGTTCCAACAAGAGTCAGGGATTGGTTCCGAACCGTTTGAAATATTTGGCCAGCTAAGTTCTAAATGTGTCTTCAGTGAATATATCGCAAGAATGAGTTGGATTCACATTTCTGACGGTTCGGAACCAATCTCTGACTCTTGTTGGNATAATCTAACATATTTTCACAAGAGACACGAAAAAAAAAATCGTTTTTTTTTGGGGCCACCCTATATACATAATAGTCCAACTAGACTAATTTTTACAAAATGTTTTATATAGGCAACATATAAGTTTAATTCATTAATATATACAGGGTAACCGCCGAGGTATCCGAGATACTTCGTATATGAATTTTATGAATAATTTTAACCTAAAATTTTTCTATTCACTTTTCCCGAATTCTCAACGGTTCATGAAATATCGAGGTTTGAAGTTGCCAGGTTGCAAGGTAGTTGGTAAAGAGTAAATTACATTGTTGCTACAGAGGGCTAAGTAATTTAATTATTAGCGACTTCGCTGGGATTAGAAAAAAATTGTTGATCGAGTTACACACCCTGTATAGAACCCGGATCTTCTTTTATTTTTATATCTCGTTGTCCTTCATGCATAATACATTGTTATGTATACTTTGCCTATCTATTGACGTCAATGTAAATGATAAGAGATCCCTATATAAACTCATGCGAGATCTCTCATCATCAGTGTAATAGTAGTAGACGTTACGACTTGTATTGAATATCTAGTAATCAATAAACGTGTTTAAACAAATAAATGTGTTAAAGTCTTCCAAGTCACGAATTGCAACTTTAACTGGCGCAGTCGGTAGGATAGTGCGTAGTCCAGAAGAAATCATATTTGGTAGTAAGAAATTTACCAACGTGAAGAACCCTTCCAGACTATTGACTCTCAAGTCTTCAGCACTAGCCAGAACACTTTTGGAAAGGACCTCAAGAACTACAGCCATTCTCTGTTTAAGAAGCCAACTGATATTGGTGAGTCTGTGAGTCTTCCCTGTTCCCATTCCCTTGATTGATACTGATACTTTCAAGTTCTGTGACAAAATTACTATTTACTCCCTGAATTGACTGTTTATCAATTTCCGGTTAGGTTAAGAATCTAGAGGTTAACTGTATATTAATTTCTAGTTAATTAAGAATTTTT